ATAGCAAGTCTTTCAGTAGCTTTCTAAAAAACTTTAAAGCATATGACATATATTTAACGCGATGTATATGGAGTGACTCAAATCATAAGCTGTTCTGGAAAATGGATTCTTTACTGGGGAGTTACCCATGTTAAATGGTGTTGGGAGGGAATGGGATCAACCTCCTCATGAGCAGATACTCCCTGAATCTGCTCCTATGGCTTCATGACTTCTCATGGATCATGATCACATGTTTTAATACTAAGCAAGCTATGTAGTTGGTCATGTTGCCTTAGAGAACTATAAATCTGAGATAGAAAAATGCATCGCGCATTCTAAATTCAATGGCCTAATTTACATCCCGTGATTAATTGCAGGATTTTCATAGTTGTCAGTAACTATAGCTATTAGCTATATTCATATAGCTTGGACCGTGATCATCTCGCTATTTTTAGGCCATATGCAGACGTGTGGCCTTATGGTCCGTGATCATCTCGCTAAGCTTATAACCATATCGCGCATTCTAAAAACTTCCTCCTTTAGATCTTTATACCACTTGCGCGGTCCATATGCAGACGACGGCGCCCATGTAGTGAAATTTTTAGGATCTATTATGGTACCCAGATACAATATGTAGATTATCGCGAATATGATTTATTGGAAGGAAATATATAAAATATGCGACGTTATCCATAGGTGAGGAACACGTTAGTCGAAAACTATGTGGATCTGTCAATCTGTCCACTGGTCATAATAACTTTCGAGTCTAGTGGGATTACTATGAATATGGAATACCACCTAACTGGTCAACTATGGATAACCGATGACCATCTAAGCACCGTTATGAATATGCAAGTAGGTGACAGAACCGCGCCTAATGACCTTTATGTGAACCGGGACACGTGCTCATGTAACCATATATATAATACAAGGCTGTATATTATGAAATATATGTCAATGATCAGATTCGCGGTTTGCGGCAATGTTGATAAACTGTGAATGATCATCCCATGTGAGCTGAGATAGCTACCAATGCAACCTTAACTGGTTAAAGGCTTTATAAAAATACACATGTCGATCCAGGCCGTCCATGCATGACTCATATTATGTAACCAAATGAGTAAGAGCCATCTTCATAGAGAAACTTCGGTTTAACGAGAAGAAGGCTAATATCACTGTCCGTTCCACGTATAATCATTTAACCTTAACTAGTTAAATGATTTTAAAGGCTACCAATTGTGAACTGGCATAAAAACAATATATAGGCCCGTGGGTATGTGAAGTCGGTGAGAAACATATCTTTTAAGTCGGTGAAGTCGGTGGTTTTTAAATGGGCATATTTTATATTATAATATAATATAATATATACTGCGATGTGTATTATATTATATTATACATAAGGAGTTTGTAGCCTTATGCTCAAAAGCATGTCGCGATATATATATATACCCAACATCTTTGCATATTCTCGTGGCATGCTGACCATTTTTCCAAAAATGTTTTGGCTTGCTTTAGCACTTTTGAATGAATATAAAGGGTGATTGAACAACAGGTGGCATTCAAGTACAAAAGTGAATGACACGTGGTAGACACAATGTCTCAATCACATGAAGTTTTAAAGAACTTCCAGGCAGTTCTAAAGCTACGAACTCTCTACGCGTCTTTTCTTACTCCGTCGTTCTTTATGCACGATGCATTGATACGACTATTTGCGCGATATTCGCGCAATAACTAGATATTGCCACTTATACACGCAATATAATATTACGTCTTTTGCGCAATATATGGTTTCAATCGCAATAAAGAGCACGAAAAAAGTGCTAAAGTTAATATACTGATATGGTTTCATTTTAAGCATACAATGGGATAAGCATCGCGCAAGGGTACTTTGGATTCATAAGCCAGGTACTAGCATCGTACTATGATACTCTGGATGAGTATTATCATTAGGGGGTGACTAACATCCTTACGAGATGAATGAAATTCAATAACTAATGGTAAAAAAGCACAAGGCAGATAGATAGCATGTACCTTTTTTGGGGTAGGAGTTGAAGTTTACCTCTTCCCGATTCATGTGATATGGTTTCAAACCAAATTTTTACAACTGGACCAATCATGTGATCTCCTCTACACAAAAGCCTGGAACCTTCTTGGGTCAGAGCATCTTGCGGTTTGGAGTTTGGAGCAGCTTTAACTTATGGGTCTTCTATGGAACGAAATGGGGTGTACCCGCAAGACATTCCGACACTTAAGTCAGTTATGGTTCAAGCAGATTTAATTATGTAGGAGAAGATGATGTACCTTAGTGTTGATAAATGTATTTATAGTAGAGTGATGTGTGCTTGGAAGATGCCTTTCTTCATGGTAAAGACAAAGGTTCCTTGGTGTCAAAGTAGTATAGCTGTCATGATTAAATGTTGAGGAGCTTGCTGTCATGGTATCTTTAAGGTTGATGAGCTTGCTGGTTGTCATGAGCTTGCTGCTATAGAGGTGTCTTTACTGTCATAAATATTGTGCAGTTTGGAGAGGTGAGTTATGCAGCCTTCATTAACTATGAATTTTCTTAATAGTAAAGACTTTTAGTTTAAGCCTTGTATTTATATAATATTTATCCAGATCAGGACTGGAGATCTGGAAAATGCTTCCAAATGAACTCAAAAGTTATGTGCATGCTGATTTGTTAGGAGTCTCAAATCTCAATTCCCCATTAATTAGCCTTTTTTTCTTTTTGGACTTTGGCTCCGATATGTATTAAAAAAAACCGTTAGAAACGTGTTTTAACTTTCCTATTTAATATTTTTTTAATATTAAATAAAATCTCATGCTAATTTCATTAATAGAGAGGAGACTAACATTATTTAGCAGAGAAAATATAAATTTTATTTAAAATAAAAGGTGATAAAAATAATGTTGAATAGTGTGTGAAAAATATTTTATTAAAATGTAAAAAATAAAATAAAATCCTTTACTACACATATAGAAAAAACGACACAGTAGCCAAATAACTTGGGTCAAGGTAGGACCACAACTAGTAAGAGGCCGATCCAAAAGATGGGTGGGCAAAGTTGGCTTAAGCAGATAGCAACACTCTAAGTGACGTTTGCTACGGTAGATATTTTTTGTTTATCGAGAAAAAAAGATTTCTAAGAATATGGTGAGAAATGTTTTTGCTCAGATAAGTTACAAAAAAATGTTTGATAGACCAAAATTTTATCGAGAAAGTTGGGTTAATTTATTGATGTTATGTTTGATTGGTGATAGAATATTGATAGGATTATGAAGTAAAATGACAAATATACCCTTTAATTTTGAATCTTGAATATCTTCTCTGACATGAAAAACATTCGTTTTAGGACACCCGTTTCTTTCTATCCGAATAATTTCTTCACCTCTCTTTCTTTATATGTTCAGTGTAGTGATAAGTTGGGACTAAGTATAGAATTGGGTTCTTTTGCTGCTAGAGTGATGATTGCAACCACTCATCTAGCTCAACATACACTAGAGCAAGTAAGGGTATATACAGGATGTGGAAAATGCACTTTTTGGACCAAAAATAAAATAAATAAAAAGAGATATATTTGTCTTTCCACCATGAACCTTGCTTACTGCTTTGTTTATCTTAATGCACATGAGCTAGTCCTACAGCTCATAATCAATCCAACGCTAGATGAAAAGAAACATAAACGTACGGTAAATGAAAACAAGCCAGAGGCAAAGAAAAAAGAAACAAAGGAAGAATTGGTGGATCTTGAGAAGGACGCAAAGCAAGAGTTCATGAAGTCAAAAAACAAGCCCTGTGCTGCAATGCATATAGGTTTGAGATATATTGTATGATGAGGGCAATTTCGTCTCCAAATTTGGTTGAGCGATTCTGAGTAATGGGAAGAAAAAAAAAAAACCACGGGTTGAATGATATTGTGTTTAAGGGATGTGTAGTTGAAAAAAAAAAAGATAGAGAAAAAATTTTGCTTGGATAATTTTCCTTTTCTCCCATACCAAACATGGGAAAGTAATTTCCCTCACCCACTTTCCCATTATTTTCAACAAATAACCCATACCAAACACCCACCCACTTGTAATTTTAACTCTCCAAGCCTTACGCACGGAATCTGTGATGGCATTGATAAAGAGACTACAAGGATGAGGACCACACTAAACCCACAAACAAGATCGTCACTCTCGCTTGAGAATGAGATACTCTTTCTTTGATAAAAAGGAAAAAACAAAATAAAATTAGAGAATGATATACGGTCTCAAAGTGAGATTGGATCTATTACTACTTACTAGACGGGTTTGACGTGATTCCTCTATGCCATCGCTGGTCATGGAAGTATGTTACGAAAACCAAAAGTTTATAGAAAAATGATATATTTATAAAAAATTTGTTTACAAACTCTTATAAATTACACGATATTTGATTGACACTCTTGAGTGACCTGTCAGAGACGTAGCGTAATTTATAAGTTTATAAATGATATTTTAAAAGTTAATTTAAAAATTAACTTTATTTAAATATTTAACTCCAACTTGTTTGGTTAAAATGTTTCACATAACAAGTGGCATTCCCTCGCAAGCTTTCCTAAGGCACTTTTACTCACAGCTGCAATATTATCTTTCTTCCTGCAAGCGGCCGTAGAATCACTTTTGGCAATATAGTTAACAAAAATATTTTTAAAAATTTACGAGCCTAAACAAAAAATTATTATTTTTTAATTGAAGAATAAAATAAGGTTACTTCTTTCAAAATCAATCCTACAACCTGAATTTTTTATTTTTTTTTCTCTCCCAATAAAGAATGTGTGCAGCCAAAAACCTATGTTTTTGTCAATATATCCGTTTGAGTTGCAAACCAAACATACACTTGATGATCAACTATCCCGTGAGATGAGGTGTGCTTTAGTTGAGCATCATAATTGACAAGCCATTCATAAAATAAAATAAAAATGAAAGAAGACAAAATTTTGAAATATCATTGTCGAATGTAAACTTTAAAAAATGGGTATAGTATACAGAGTAACATAGAAACAAAAAATAAAAGGTTATAGATTTGCCAGGATCTAGACTCATGATGTACAATATTAGATAATATTTTCATAGCTGAAATGACAAGACAAAGATGATGTCTAATTGAGAGCATTAGACACGGAATATAAGAAGTCCAAGAAGCCAGTTCCCTTTAAAAGACCCTTACCCGTTAAAAGCTCAAAATCCAACAACAGGAGGAAACCAATAACAGCTGCTTTCCCGTTTATTATTTCGTTCTTCCCAGTAAAACCAAATCCTTCTTGATCCTCATCAACCACCATTCTAACCTAAACATGTCATAGAACTAATAATTCAAAAGGACAGCCAATTGGCATTGCATTGGTCCAAAACTAAATATCAGAATGTTACTGTGGTTACCTCATCAACGTTGACATCAGATGCTGTTACACCAGGTTGAGCCTTCCCACTAAACACAATTTCAGCAGAAGCATCCGATTTTAGATTTCCTCTCATGCTGATATAAATATTCTGTTCATCTGTTTTCACAGGATATACAAAGAGTGCCCTCAAAGCAGGTGTGAGAACTCTCAGAACAGGATTGTTTGGATACCACTCCTTGATGTCTCCTGTTCTTAGATCAAATGTGCTATCAGTTGTTGGGCAAACTATACACCCATCCTGCCAAAAAAGAAGAAGAAAGGAATTGGATAAAAGATGAGGCTCATTTTCAGTCAAAATAGACTAATGAAAAAGTTTACAAGGGTGGGTTTTATAGAACACGTATAAAAATCCCAGAAATTACAAAAGTTGTTAGTAGGAATGCTACAAATTGACATTCTCATGCAATGCTTAGTGTGCATACAGCATTATAGACCTAAAGCAAAGCTGAGAATATTAATGAAAATCTGATTTTCAGCAAGCCAAGAGGAACATCAATTTAGTACCCCTCAATGCTAAGCCCAAGCCCATTGAGGGGTTTCTTAAAACCCTAAACCCTAGATTCCACTTCCTCTATATATTCATTAATTGTGGGAAGAGGCTAGGTAAGATGATTTGAGAGATTCTTGAGTGATACTCGAGAGATTTGTGAGCAAAGCTTTAAACTTTACATTTGAGAGACCTCTAGAGAGAGTTTGAGTGAAACATCTCTAGGGAAGTTTGACTACCACCATTGTTGGAGAGAGGTTGAGTGAACCACCACTTTGGTGAAACTTGATTTTTTGTATCCATTATTATCATAGTGGACGTTTGAACTGGACTAGGTCACGTGAGTTTTTACTTCTTCATATTGAGGAAGGTTTTCTCACGTTAAATATATTTGTGTGTAAATTTCTTTCTCTCTCTCTCTCTCCTCTGTGTTTTTTTTTCTTCATTTTTCCGCAGCAAAGGCCGGCCTGGTGAGGTTCAGGCCAAGTTTAGATTGTCGAGATCCGAGATCCAGAATCTTGTTGATTGACTCCCGCAAGACAAGAAGGCTGTAGAAGTCAAATTGAGGGACTGATTTGTCCCAACCGAGATAGACAACACAATTGTCATTGAATTTTCAAATATGGTAAATCACTAACCCAATTGCGACATTAATTCAGTAAATGCTACAAGAGAAAAACTTAAAGAAAACTGTGGTAATAATAACACAATGGACACACAAAAAGAACTAGCTCATCATCCCGTATTTAATGCTTATCATCATGTTGCCCAGGCCTGAACTGAAATTACAATTGCAAGCTGCAAGTAGTATTATTTTGAATAAGATATTATTATTATCATCACATCTCTACAATAACCTTTATCTGATTCACCAATCCATTACATAACCCAAATAATCATAATAAAACTAATTTTGCATAATTTGTTATTATGCAATATCCTAATACAGTTAGTTGATACAGAAGAACAAAGAATTAGTTGCAATTGAACTAAAAGCAAGTAAAGGAAAGAACTTTGAACCTGGGTGAGCTTGGCATTGAGCAAGCCTTCACTGTAGGCGCCTTCAGCAGGTGACCTATTTTCAATGGCGTAAACTTGATCTTTATACCAAAGCAGCAATATCGTCTCGCCGTCCTGAATAATCACGCGCCGCTCTCCCCTGGGAAGGGCCGACAGCGGCACCACCGGAACCCAGTTGGCATTCCCTCCGCCGCCGTCACCGGACGCCGATGACTCTTCGGCGACGGAAACTTGGGTTGCTTTGCATGTGATTCGCGGAACAGAGTTCCTGGGAAGGTAGTGATAACAGAGTAAAGACTTGGGCGAAGAATGGGAGAGGTTTGAGTGGGAAAGAAGAAGCGGTTTGGGAGAAGGGATAGAGAAACAGAGAAAGTGGGTTTTGGAGGATGAAAGGGTTAAAGGGTTGGTAGTGGTGGCCATGGAGCTTGTGAGTCGAGAAACAAAGAGAGGAAGGAATTGGAGACAGAAAGTGAAAGGGTCTGCATCTACGTGTGAGTGAGTGGATGCGTGGAGTTCACACAAAGAAGATAAAGTCGGGGTATTAGAATAGCCACAATTCAATTCTAATGTAAATGCTTGTCACGTAGGGCGAAATTGTAATTTTCTCAAATTATAACTATTTATCTGAAAAAATAGAAAAAAATTAAAAACTTCTATAAATTTTGAGGAGGACAATCATTAATTATACAGTTAAAAAATAAAAAATAATGCTAAAATCTAAAAGTTTGTATACATTTATGGGATAAGATTAATGTAAGAACAATAAATTTTACATTCAATCTTTATTCTTAATTTCTGTTAATCAAAATAAATGTAATTAATTTAATTATTATTACTAATTAATTTTTAATAAGTTATAATTTTCAGATATATAAAAATTAATGATTAAAATTGAATGTAAGATTTATATTCTTATATCGGAATAAAAATATCCTGCTAATCAAAATAAAAAAGCATATGTAAAGTTAATCATGGCATGACTTTATTTATTTATTTTTTGTTAATAAGAAATTTCTAATTTATTATAAATATTCGTTGAGCGAGATTGATGATTTATCTTAATTTTAAAATGATAATAATTTTTATTTTAAATATTTTTATAGAAAAAATATAAAATTATATAAATTATGTTAAAACTACCGATTTTAAAAAATTATAAATATTAACTATTAAATTGAGTGTATAACTATCTTAAAAATTGGATTTGAGTTGTCTGCGTCTCATTCATAAAATTGTCATAATTTTATTATAAATACTTATAAAAATTTAAAATTAAATAAGAACCGTTAAATATCATATATAACTATTTTGTAAGTGCAGCCAATTCTACATGCTAAATATTATTCATTGAAATTTGTTCTGGATCAGTCAATTTGGAATTTTTATTGGCAGCCCGATTGGCCCAGCCCATTATTCACCAAAAGACCAAAGACATTTTCCCCTCACACGATAAATACCCTCACTCCTCTTTGAAGAGTCATTTTCTTTTCCATTACTTTAATGTTACTTTAAAACAACGGAAAAATATTTCTGTTTTAAATGCATAAAATTTTATTTGCAGTTCATTAAATGTTTTATCGGTAAGACATAGATAAAAATGACACAATTTTGTTATTTAAAATGACAAAAATTAACATTTTTTTATCTTCTTTATTGAATAATTTTTTTTTGAATACATCTTTATTGAATATTTTGAAACTAGATAAAATAATCAATTTATTTTTAATAACTGAGTTTAAATCTTTAAATTTAGATGAATTAGACTTAACATCGTCAAAAAATACCAGGAAGGCGGATCCCCTTTCGTAAGTATCCACATATGGCAATTTCTCGAGGGTGATGTAATGTTGATTGTTCTTACACAAATGGTGGTCGTTTTTCTGATTTGTGGTAGTGTGTTCCGTGATGTTACAGGATGATGCTGGGATTTGTCACGAATTGGTGGCATTAGAGATGTTCATCAACCATGTACCAAAAAAAGAAAAAGAAAAAAGATGTTCATCAACCGATTAAAATCGTGGTGACCGAATCAAAAAATCGAAAATCAAAAAATCAAAAATAAAAATAAAAACGCAAAATTTAATTGGATTAGATCGGTTTTTGGATGAGTTGGTAAAAATCGATCCAATAATTTCTCAACCTTACCATCTACCTACTTGGATCTTTCCTCAATCATAGCCCAAAAATCATATATCAAAATTCTAAATCCAAGACCCATTAACCCATCATGTTAGAGAAAGTGGGTTGTGCTTGATATATGTTATGCTTTTTTTTTTTTTTGGTTAGATACATAATATAATTTTATTACATGGGTTATTGTTGTACAACATATCCTCTATCAGGCAAATATATTATACATTTTTTATTGAAGATAAAAGATAGTAATTCAACATTTTTGTTGTACAATACTTCTAGATTGCCCAATAATCATCGTACAAATTTTACAAAGCCGATACATACAAAAGATATGTTATTTGTACAATAATTATCATTCAAATCCTAGACTTTTCAAAAATTTGAAAACCGATCCAATCCAAATCAAATAAAATTGGATTGGATCGGATCGGATTTGAAAAAAAACCAAAATCGAATGAATGATTATATGATTAAACCGAAAAGATTGAAACGAATGATTTTTGCTTTTAAAATCGGTCCAATCCAGACCGCGAAGACCCCTAACTAGTGTTCCTGAATTACTAGGCATCCTCGTAGCTTTAAAATTGGCCATAAATAGGAGAGAATTTATGGTGGACCGGGACCACCATTTTTTAGGTGGTCCCTTAGTGTAAATGGAGGGTAAAATTGAAAAAGAAGAAAAATAACAGGGGTAAAAAGGGAAAGAAAAAATTAGTGTTGTGAGAGAGAACACCAAATCATTAGATGATCCTGGAACATAATAAATATTTCCCGTAAAAAACAGAGGCATAAAGTTTCTATGGATTGAAACCTGATTAAATTTTTGCAGTGTCCTTTGCTCAGAAGGGAGCAGTGTTTCTCATCCATGTGCGTCCCTTGTCAATGCCATTTTGGAACAGAAAAATAGAAGTTGGATATTACTCATACCTTGTGGGAAGGTAATATATAGAGTAGCTGATAGGGACTGAAGACCCCTAAGCAACAATAATACTAATAGAAACTCCAGCAAGATTATCGAACAAAATCCTACCACATCTCTGTCGTGGAGACCGAAGAATGTGCATATTTATTATACGCAGTTGATCCAAATCGATTTAAACTGCGCTGACCAAACTGAAAAATTAATAATTAAATTAACCAAAAATTGAAAACCTAAAAAATCCATAAAATTTAATTTGATTGGATCGATTTATCCAAACCAATCCAATAATTTCTCAACTTTACCCTCTACTTGTTTAGGCATTTCTCCAATCGTAGTCCACAAATTATATAGCAAAATTCTAAACTCAAAATTCATTAATCCATCGTGTTAGATAAAGGGAGTTGTGTTTGATCTATGTTATTTATTATTATTATTTTGTAAGATACATCATATATTTTCATTGTAAAAGATGGTAATCATCATCGTTTACTAATTCTTGTAGATTGCACCTATGCTGCACTGATATCGACACGGGACACAGGATATGACACAACACTCCGACACGTTAATTCTATAAAATGTTAAATTTCGACACGTTAGGACACATTTTGATATTATATAATATTTTTAATTTATGTAATGTACATTATATTTAGTATTCAATAATTTAACAAAAAAGCAAAGCTAAACTCATAATACCCATCAATTTTGCAAAGAAACATAAGATATCCCAAATGTTTAAATAAAACTCAATAAAATCGTAATCGTAATCTAACGAATCTAATTGTTGGAACTCAAAATGCAACGTAATGTAATCTTTGAACATTTTTTTAGTCTTTGCAACGAGTATTGGAGTGTCGAAAAGTGTCGGACACGACACGTCAAGATTTTTAAAGTGTCGGTGCTTCATAGGATTGCACAATAATCATCATACAAACTTTACAAAGCTGATACATATAAAAGATATATTATTTGCACAAAAATCGTCATACAAATTTTAGGTTTTTCAAAAAACCGAAAATCAATCCAATTTAAACTTATTGGATTGGATTGGGAAAAAAATCCAAATCGAATGAATAATTACATGATTAAATCGAAAGCATTGAATCAGATGATTTTTGCTTCTAAAATCGATCCAATCTAGACCGCGAACACCCCTAATTATTACGATGGCAAAGCAGATTGGCCCGCCCCGCCTGTGAAAGTGGGCAAGAAAACTCAGCCCGCCCCGCCCCGTTTGGGCGGGCAGGGTGAGCTTCCCACCAAGCCCGTCAGATTTTACACTAAAAAAAGAAAAAGAAAATTAAAAAATCCAGCCCAGGCAAACTGGCGGGCTTGGCTGGCGGCGGGTTTGGAAAACTCAGCTCGCTTCGCCCCGGCGGGCTGAGCCCGTTTTGTCATCCCTACTAATTATACCCTTAGTGAAAGGGAACTTAACCTGTAAAAAGTAAAAATAAATAAGATAGGTTTGTGGCTAGATCTTTGTACATGTTGGTTCAATTAAACAAAGTAAAAACCCTCTTAAAATGTCTTTTATGTTTACAAACAAGGCATAAAATATAAAAGGGTTTGAAATCACGAAAATTATTGTGTTATTTATTTAGGAGTTCCGAAATAGAAGAGTGGCACTAGGCGTTTCGATTTTCCTAAGGGGGTGTTTGGGACAAGGGAAAAAAATTGTCTGGGAAAAGAGGGTAAAAAAAAATATATGGCCATATTTGGTAGGAGTAGGGTTGGCAAAACGGACCAACCCAACCCGGCCCGACCCAACCCGCATTCGACCCGAAAAAATGAGTCGGGTTAGGGTTGGTTCGAAAAAAAAATGAGCCAGAAAACCCAACTCAACCCGACCCGAGTCGGGTTAGGGTTGGCTCAAAAATATGGCTCGTGGGTTGGCTTGAAAAAATAGCTCGCGAGTTGGCTCGAAAATTGGTTCGCGGGTTGGCTCGAAAATTGCTCGCGGGTTGGCTCATTTTCAGCCTATTTAAATGACTCTGTATTATTAATGCACCAGCTATGTGGCTTCCATCAGCTTAAACAAAGGGTTACAAAATGAGAAATAAAAGAAAAAAATATTTTAGTTTCGAATTTTCTTACAAATTTGCATCAACATCAAGAAACAATCATAACCACTTGCTACAAAGTGGGTAAGATATTTGAACCAAAAAGAGACAGCACAGCCTATCAATATAAAAATGGTAGAGATGTTAGAAGATTAGAGACTTAAGTTTAGAGAAGGAAGTAAAATGATGATAATATATGTGGGTTTTGTCCATTTTTGTATATCATATTTTGTATTTTTTTTTTTTGGTAATCTATTTTGTATTTTTTATTACAAATAAAACTTAAACCGCGAGCTGACTCGTTTAACCAGCGGATTGACTCGTTTTTTCATGGGTTGGCTCGGGTCGGGTTGACAACTCATTTTTGCCAACCTAACCCGGATCATTTTTGACAGATTACGAGCCAACACTAAGTAGGAGGAAGAGTTAAAAAGGGTCTGGGCACAATTTTTTTAATCTAATTTTTTTACACATGGACCCAGAGTAAAATTTTATCATGGATGTGGTGGAAAAAAAAAAAATTCTTCGCGGTGGTAAAATTTATTCAATTTTTTCGAAAAAATATTAACCTACCAAATATTTTTTTTAACTTTCCGGCAAAAAAATGTTTCCATCATACTTTGGGCAAATTTTTTTTTCCGATAACTTATTTTTTTCTATACCAAACGCCTCATAGGTTGAGACGGGGTAGAACAGATATTTTCTTATATTGGTGGTGGATGGCGACTTCGGATTTCCGATAGCTGCAGTACCACACGTTAATTATGGTTCATAGCCTTTCATAAAGGCCACCGCTTGATAATTATATGGTGTATAATTTTAGGAAAAACAAAAGTACAAGATGTCTCGCTAAAATAATTTAGGCGACTTTAGAGAGGTAAAACGAAAAGGGAGGTTAAATATAAATTTTTTATTTACAAATTTATATTATGTATTTTTGGGAATAGACTTAGTTAGAAATCTATATCTAGGAATACATAATATGTAAACAAAAAATTTGAAAATATAATTTATCAAAAAAAAAAAACAAGAAAATAGATTCATTCATCGGGGAAGAAACAGTTAAAAATCACAAAATTAGTTCAAGTTATCATTTTAGTGGTAAAAATAAGCATATTTTTGGATAGTAATAATAATAACGGTTCTTATATTAACTTTAGGGAGAGGCTATATTTATGACATATTTTTTATTATAATCTCTTACAACCATTTTTTTTATCAACAGTTATAAAATAAATCAAGTAAAAGTCATTGATTTGATTTTGATTCAATGATAAAGAAAATGGTTGTAAGAGAATATATGATAAAATAAGTTGTAAGTATAACATCCTTCCTAATTTTAGTAAAGAAGTGGAGGTTCGTATCAAAATGACAAGTAAAATTCTCACTTTTAGAGATATAAATGGGTTACACATAATTTATCAAAGGCCTGCGGCTCTGTCTATATTAGAACAAGAATAGACTTATCTTGAAAAATGATGAACCGATTGAAATATCTAAACAAAAGCCTATAGACATACTTTTACAAAACTTGGCCTATAAGTTTACGGATACACCTCTAACTTATTATTTATTATAATTAAAATAAAATAATTATTTAAATAATTTAATGGGATATGATAAGGATCGGATATTGTGACACACAAATAATGTTACGCATAATGTTACGACCATATCTTAACCGTTGATTTCCGCCAATCAACGGTTATCATTTATTGCGAATTAATAATTAATTAATGAGTTTGATTTGAAAAATGATAACCGTTGATTTCCGGGATAGGATATTGTGACACACAAATAATGTTACGCACAATGTTACGACCACATCTTAACAGTTGATTTTCGCCAATCAATGGTTATCATTTATTGCGAATTAATAATTAATTAATGAGTTTGATTTGAAAAATGATAACCGTTGATTACCGGGATAGGATATTGTGACACACAAATAATGTTACGCACAATGTTACGACCACATCTTAACAGTTGATTTTCGCCAATCAACGGTTATCATTTATTGCGAATTAATAATTAATTAATGAGTTTGATTTGAAAAATGATAACTGTTGATTGGCGGAAATCAACGGTTAAGATGTGGTCGTAACATTGTGCGTAACATTATTTGCGTGTAGGGGTGTAAATGGGCCAGGCTGGCCCAGCCCAGCCTACGGCCCGGCCTACATTGAGCCCAGCCCAGGCCCAGCCTTTTAGAAAAGTAGAGTAAGCTTAGGCTTAAAAAAAGCTTTTTTAATAAATAGGCCATAGGCTAATTTTGTCAAGCCCGGCCTACAGCCTTGTAGGCTGGCCTATTTAATTTATTAAAATAAAATAATAAAATAATATTTATTTTATGTGGCAAAGACACAAAGTACCAAATACCAATATCTCTTACTTTTTGTGCTATTTTATTTTATGAAAGGAAAACTTGTCTAATATCTCCAAATTTTACATGCTGTTGCAGCTTAATACCATGGAGCAATGGGTACCTTGCTGGATTATGATGTTACTAATGATGATCTTTCAATAATACTCTTCTTTCCCTTGTCTTGATGGTGGTTTAAAGATTTTTAGATGAATGACATTCTCTTGCAGACTTTATTTCAACATCCAGTAATTGTATTTTTCTTATTTTTCCCATTTCTTTGACTCTATTCCTCTATGATATACATTCTAGAGCTGAGGTATTATGTTGACTCTTTCTTGTTTGTCATTTTTTTCTTATGAGAAGTACTAGTGCATGCATGAATGAAACATTCTTTACTCTATACAATTATTTTTTTTGCTTAGTATATATAGTGGGAGGCCTACAAGGCTTGTAGGCCATGTCAGGCTTTCTTATTTTTGAAAATGGGTCGGGCTTGGCCTACAGATAAAGCCTTTAATAGGCCAGTAGGCCAGATAGGCTGAATTTTTTTTGACGTAGGCCCAAGCCCAGCCCAGCCCAGCCCATTTACACCCCTATTTGCGTGTCACAATATCCTATCCTTTTTTAATAAATATTGAAAGTTTCCTGGTTTCAATAGATTAATATGTTTATCTCAGAAATTCTGATTTTTAAATATAAATCTGGTTAAATCTATAATTTAACCTACATCATATTACTAGGTCAAGTTATGTAACCAAATTGTAGTTGCTGAGTTGGTAGCAAATCAGCCAAATAAATGGAAGAAAAAAAAGATTCGATTCTCACATATTATTTTTGGGAGATATTTAAACATCTCTATCTCTGACCTGCCCCGCACTTCGAATTAGTCTTATATCCATTTCAAAAAGTCGAAACTTGTAAAAATATTGGAGAGAATCAACTCACCTTAAAGAAATAATTACTCCAAAAAAACAAAAATGTCAAATTATGTTAAAAAAAATTTACGAACCTAATTTATTTGGACCGAAGTTTAACATAGCACGGCCCATTTAAGCCGATTAACCTAACCTCGCGTCTATCATTTGATTTCCCACGTGCTATACATCGGACATGACAAATCCTATATATACGTCCATCATACGTTCATTTTGTTGTAAGAAGAGCGCTTTGTTTCTCTTCTTCCACCATTTTCAAACTTTCTTTCTTTCATTCTTCCGTTGTCTTTCGAAACGAATAACAAAGACAGCAATCATTGTCTTGTTGAAGATAGAAGAAAGGCATGGACAGCCTTGAAGAAAAAGTGTGTGTGTTCATGCATGAACATTATTCCAACGAATCAGATCAGTTAGATCGCTCTCTGGATGACCTTTGGTGCTACGAAAATAGCAGCAGCGACTCTGATGACCCACCAGAGAAGACTTTGTATTGGGAATCTCAGATGGCACTGCTTCAGGTATTACTCTTTACATATATAATAATAATAATACCCTCTTCATCATTCATATCAAAAACTCGTTTTGTTTTATGCTTTAACAAATACAAAACAAAATAGAGCCAATTAAGGTTCTGGGGGCATTTCATATATTGGCCAAAAGTGTTTTGTAATTTCTTCTAATTAACACAAGCTTGATTTAAGGATAGAACATTAAATAAATTCTTTTACAATCTGCATCTTCAATCCAAATTAATATTCCGATTAGCTAGGTTTCCCATCTCTCTTGAATGATCTAATTTTAGCTGAGTAGTTCTTAGCTTTTTGTTACATAAAATTCTTCAAAGTAAGAGAAATGGTACCTATTATATCAAGTTCGTTTGTTGAATTAAGTCGCATAAATTACAAACTCATGGCCGATTAGTTGGATTTCAATTAAACAAAGTGATAAACTTGGTACAATTCTTGTTCCTATTCTCAAACATGGCTAGCTAAAAATAGAAAATGGTGAATTTTTTTTTGAAAATAAAAAATTTAGATGGAGTTAGACATCGGTATCTCATCAGGGTCAGAATAGGGCTCCTAATTCTTTAAAAATTTTTGGGAAGAATTATATATCATCCATTAATAAAGTCCTCAACGAATTCGAACTCACGGCTGTTGTAGGACAAAATAGCCATAAAAATGAATTCTTTAAATACAAAATAAATTATTGCTTTTTCTCATTTTATAAGGGGTTCCGAAATATCTGATTGAGATGAGTGGTCTTGATTTTTTGTCCTTTTACCGGTAGTGTCAATTAATTGATAGAATAGCGTTACCAAAAATTAATTGGTGGAATATATGTTTTCTTTTCGGTTTATTTTATTGGCGAGTGACAACTTACTATAGTTGCACCACACGTTGATTGTGGTGATTCAGAGCCTTCCATAACAAAATGAAAGTAAATTATGATGAGAGCCTTTCATTTTATCTGCTTTAAATAAAATTCATATCCGACAACTTCCAAATTAAACTAATTGATACTGTAGAATTGGAATATTCCATTTAGGATATTCTTAGATATTTTTATTCCACAATGGAATTTTTGAAACAGCCATTTACTCGAAACAACATATGAAGAACGTGATACAAAATTTTAAAAACTATACAATAAAGGACAAAAGGAAAAGGATATTTTGAACTACTTAGAAAGATAAAGAATTACACCCGACATGATTCAAAAAAAAAAGAAAAAAAGATAAAGAATTATCATTTGTCCACTAGCATCTATGCACTTGATTTTGAAATGGATTTTTCTTCACTAAACGTGGTGCATGTTTTCAGTCATCTAGGCTTGACTCAAGTGATAATTCCAATGTCTTAAAAGCAAAACTATTTATATGTTGTTTTGCTTTTAGGAAATTTTGGAGCGGTACCATTTAAAGGGATTGAAATTGAGACAAGAGGCTGGTCAAATAATAAAAGAGGTCAAAGCTTCAGAATTTTGCAGCTGCTTGAAGCCTAACTCTTCCCATTGCACCACCTGTTTGAGAAGACGTGTGGTTGATGAGCTCAGCGACAAAGGATTCAGAACCAACCTTTGCATATCAAAATGGGGAGCCACAAAAAAGTTTCTAGGAGGTGCTTATATACCAAATTTATGCTCACCAATCACGCATATAACAAAATTTATATATCAAAACATAACATTATTTTAAGGAGAATGTTATATTTATAAAAAAATTGTTTACAAACTACATTATCTTAATCAAAACTATATGACTATAACCGATCAGACATGAAGTACTTTGTAAAAAAATTTGTAAATAGATATTTCTCTTTATTTTACTAGAAAGCCTAATTTAATTATGTTCCATTTGTTGCTTTTGTATTTTAGGCTCTCACGAGTATATCGAAGTGGTTGCAAGCACATTAAAAAGGAAGAAGCAGATCTCATTTCTGATTGAATTGGAATTCAGGGATCAGTTTGAGATTGCAAAAGCAGGTGAAGAATACCAGAAACTTGTGTCCTGTTTGCCTGAATTTTTTGTTGGGAAGCCAGATCACTTAACTTCCATTGTTCGAGTTATATGTGGTGCTGCAAAGAAATCAATGAAGGAGAAGAAAATGCATATGGGTCCGTGGAGGAAGAGCAGCTTCATGCGAATGAAGTGGTCAGGTTTCAATCAAACATGGAATTCTGATAAATCCTTGGGTAGATTTTCCCTTGGACAAGCAAGTGAATCATCTTTTCTGAGAATTTCTGGAGCTCCTTTTGCTCTGATAGTCACCTGAATAGTTTTTTGAATGAGAGAAAGTTAAAATATTCACATGGTGGATTTTGATAGGGAACTTTGTTCTAAAAACCTCTTTAGTAGTAGGAGTTGATGCCCCAGTTGATTATGATGTAATATATTCCCGTAGAATAGCTTATATCATCTGCTGTTACGCAGTAACTCAGTTTGGAATTGTAGATATTCTAGTTGAAACATGAATATATTCAACTTCAAGATCAAGTGTCAATTTTGGATGTTACAATATACATATATCTATTGCAAAGAAATGCTTTAATAATTTTCAGAGGATAAATTTTTCAGTATTTAATTTAATTTAAAAAAAAAAAAAAAATTCACTAAAAGCCATCTCCATATGATTCTGTGTTGAACTATCAACTATCATATGATTGTTGCAAAATTCATTATGATCTGTGGCCAGGGCTTTATATTTTCAGTCTAGGGTTCATATTTCTTTTTGGACTGTTAGTGTGTTAACCGCTGTTTTTCTTACCTTCTTGGTAATCAATCTCCATATGAATGTTTATTAATTCTTATAAGCCGGTTGTCTTTTCAATGCTTAGGGTTTTTTTATGTTTGGCCTTTGCGTCCACACTTTTAGCCCAATGTCACCTATTTCGGCAAAAATTCCGTACTAGTGTTAATTTTCAAAAGAATCTCCGCGCTGAGACACATCTGTAAAGAATGACGAGAGTAGAGCAGTCAAACACGTAGGGTTGACTGGCGTGACCAGTCCCGCCACATACAACGACGTGATCAGCAGCCACATAGGATTGTCTGCATGAATCCCGCCAGCTGCCCTGACTTATTTGAGTCCCGCCATATCAGTTGGCGAGACTATGCCACGTGTACAAAAGCTCCGCCAGGTAATGTGACGTGTTCCAGCCACGTACCTACTCTCGCCACCTTGGTTGACGGTTTACGTTGTCCTTCTGCATCCCCCCACGCGATACTCGTGGGGTAGCGTCCCGTACACTACAAAATTAATCTCGCCACTGACACTTACGGAAATATTTGCCTGGTTATATATAGGGTCTTCCGGTGTTACTTAGTATGGGACATTTTGAAAGTTCGGGATGCTTGCTATTTTTGTATATGATTTTGACTGACGGGTTCTTGACTTCTAGTAATTTTGTTTGTATCAGTTGCTTTGCTTGTAGTGTTAAAATTTTGTTGTATGACCTTGCTGTAATGTCGTAATTTTTTTTGTATGAGTTGTTGTAATGCGTATTTAATGTTTGTATTTACTTTTTTTTAATCTCTACTTTCATCAGATCTCCTTTTGTGTTATTTGCATAAATACACAGTACAATGGAACAATATCGGTCTTTTGTATATTATAATGGTTCTAAAATTAACAGTGTAGGCGGGTTGAGATTCAAAGGGGAAAAAAGAGCAATGTATATTGTCCGAGGCTTGTCCATTGAAGATCTACTTCAGAAGATTCGTTAGAAGTTGAAGTTGCAACAAAATCAGGTAATTTCTTCAGTCACGGGTCGAGTCCCATGTGGTAATCGAAAATATGCAGGTTTAGAAATAACTGATGATGAGGACATTGACATTTTTCTTGGAACATTTGTCCAAAACTCTACTACATCTCAATTTGTTGAGTTATATGTCGATATTGAGACATCAGACGACATGTCAATACCGACACGTGGGTTGGACCTTAACAGTCAGACACAAATGCCGTCATCATCGGAACCCCAGCCCACACAATCAACTATTGCAAGTGGAGATGAAAGCGACTATATGGTAGATGTTGAACCTGACAATGAAGAGGAGGAGGAAGATGAAGACACTCTACTGGAAAATGACCATGATCAGAATGATAGTGATGGAGGTGATGATGAACATCATGATAATCCCATATCACAGGAGACTGTTATCCCTACGTCCAATAATCCGGTTATTCCATCATCATCAGGTTAGCCATTGAACGTCTTGTATCGTCTTGTATGATTAATTTTTTATATAATCACTTTAATATTTGGCAAATTTGTTTTTGTATTTTTTTGTAGATATGACACCATTTTGGGATGACATCCCACACTATGAGGCTGTTAATTTTGATTATCCGAACGAAGACATACTGGATGTTGAAGGCTTAGGTCGTGGTCCGTGGACAAGAGGAGACGAAATGTATGTGAAACAAGAGTTTCGGTCAAAGAGCGATGTTCAAGCTGCTATAAAACATTACTGCATGAATGAGCATCAAGAAGGTGTAGTGGTTGAAAGTACAACCACGAAGTTGTCTATGAAATGCCATAAGCATGAAGAAGGCTGCAATTGGCGAGTAAGGGCAATTAAACCGAAGAATAGCAACAGCTGGGTAGTCAGTAAATGGGTTGGAAAACATTCTTGTGTCAGCACAACCCTTTCTCAAGATCACAAACAACTTGATTCACATTTTATATCTGAGGCCATTCTAGGTACTATACATTGTTGAAGTTATCGTACTGGGACAATTTATGAGTTTATCATGTGAAGGCCGATATTATTACTAATTACAAATATGCTCTATATCTGTATGCAGACATGGTGAAGGCTTCGCCGTCGGTGGCCGTTATCTTGATACAAGAACGGGTTACTGCCCTTTTTGGATATAATGTTTCTTACAGGAAGGCGTGGATGGGAAAGCAGAAAGCAATTGCTAAGATTTACGGAGATTGGGACGAGTCATACGCGTTCCTGCCAAGATGGTTCGCACACATGTTGAATTTTTCTCCGAGGTCAGTTTACCATATTCAACATAGACCGTGTGTCATGAATGGACAAGTTATTACCGGGTCCAGGGTTTTTCAACGTGTTTTCTGGACTTTCGGTCAATGTCGGGAGGCGTTTAAATGGTGTAAACCAGTCATACAGGTCGATGGTACGCATCTGTACGGTAAATATAAAGGGACATTATTGATCGCCACAGCGCAAGATGGAAACAATGAGGTCTTGCCAATTGCATTTGCGGTCGTTGAAAGTGAAACAAAAGATGCATGGGAATATTTTTTGGCATCCATCCGAATGCATGTAACCAATAAGACTGGTATAAGCCTTATTTCGGATCGACACAAAAGCATTTTATCAGCAGTGGCCAATCCAGACATTGGATGGCAACCTCCTAATGCATACCATGTGTTTTGCCTTCGTCATGTAGGGAGCAATTTTAATACACGATTCAAGGATCAATACATGAAGGGTTTTCTAAAGAAGCTAGGTTATATATGCAAACTAGTTACATAAAATGTTGTATATCCTTTGTCGATTGGGTCCGTTTGTATATTATAGTGTGTTTTTTCTTGCAGGATATATTGCAAATAAAGACTACTTTGATGCTGCGTATGCCGAGTTCTGCAGCATTAGTCCAGAGGTCGCTGCGTGGATTGAGGCTGTTCCAAAGGAGAAATGGACTCGGAGTTACGACGAGTGTGGACGAAGATATGGTCACATGACAACTAACTTGTCTGAATCAGTGAACAGGGTTTTCAAGGGAGCGAGGAACATGCCAATAACTTCTTTGGTAAAATGCACATATAGTCGACTTGCACGTTACTTTTTTAAAAGAGGGTGTAAAGCACAGACAGATGTTGAGATTGGAAAGCGTTTCTCAAAAACTATTTCAGAAGCGATGACAAAGAACAGTGAGAGGGCTACATCGATGCGTGTTCGGGAGTATAACGTGGCGCGCACCTCATTTGAAGTCGATGACCAAGGAGATACATTTTGGGTTAACCTCAATGATGGAAAATGCCAATGTGGTAAGTTTCAAGCATTCAAAATTCCGTGTAGCCATGTTATTGCATCATGTAAGAAGGTAGCCCTTGATGTTGAGCAATACGTGGATCCGGTGTTCTCTGTAAACTCCATTATGCGTGTCTACTCTTCTCCATTTCTGCCGATTGGTAGTGAAGATGGAATTCCCCCACATCCCGGACCAAAGCTTGTTCCTGATGTCTCAATGATGCGTGGACAGGGGCGTCCTAAATCTACACGTATTCGCAATGAAATGGACGAACTTGAGGACCAACCAAGTTCTAGCCAAACTAAATGCAGTATATGTAAGATAGCCGGACATAATAGGCGTGCATGTCCTACAAGACGCATATCAAATTAATGTGTTGTAATGTTGGCAATATTTTATTAGAAAATCGTGCTTTGAGTTTATGAAACTACTTAACCACTTACACCCATGACAACGTAATAGTAACCAGGAAACGGGCGAAATTCGGACAGCATAACAACAGAAAATGGACAATCCAGGGAATCGCATCCCACACTTTAAAACCTAGTGTACCTGAAATACAGAAAATAACAGTCGAAATACATTTCAACCATGTCCATATTGGAAATATCATTTCCCACATAAAAGCAGTGTACCGAACTAAAGATGAAACCACACATGAACCAAAGAAATCAGTAATATATAGTAATGCATAAGTACAGTCATCCATAAACACATCTCAAATGCATAGATAGGGATTCACATGCTATGATGGTGGAGTATAAGTAGGCCATGGTCTGGAACGTGCATCACGTTCAGGGTTCCTGCGAATGACACCACCCACTCTCTCTGCATCAGGATCGTGCCTAATATCGAAATCCTCTGCTGCTGCCTGTAGAAAATCGTCCTGCGTGTCCTGGGTGTCCTGTCCTGATTGATGTTGACTGCGAGACGAACGCGATGTTTCCCCATGACCGTACCCTCCTGCAGCGACACTACTACACTGGCCCCCGTGATAGGCACCGAATGCTGACAATCCATGTACCGGCTGATAGCCACTGAACCCTGCCAATGTTGGAGGTCGCGCACTCTGATCAAACTGGGTGCTCATCCACTGATATGAGGCAGGAAACTGTGTTTGAGAAGGTGGAGGCAAGTGAGGATCTAAACCAAATGACATATGCATAGGCATCTGTACGGGAAACTGCATAGGCATATGTGGAGACATGTGTGTCGACATCTGCGTCGACATCTGTGTAGGCATCTGGCTATGCATCTCTGTGGGCATCTGCGTAGGCATCTGCGGCGGAAACCACTCAATAGGAGTAAATGCCATAGTGGGCCACATGGGTGGTCTATAAACACCAACGGCTCGTGGCCCACCTGCTGGTATGTCATATGACTGGTGCTCAATGCGTGGTCGTCGACGAAAAATGCCCCTACCCTCCTTCGCATGAGGTGGTACATTTATCTCTGGA